AAATTCTGCCTTTTATACCAAAGCCAGGAGCAAAAATTACATTCTGGAGAATTTTATTATTACAATTTATTAAAGAGTATGATAAAAATAAATGCTGCCATTTTGGTTCTTAATTGCTTATAAAAGAAGCTGGAGCTTTTGATTTGGCACATGTTTAGACTTCTCTTCGAAAATGATGAGCCAGATGATGACTACTGAAGCTTTCTGGAAAGTTCTCCACATAAACCTATTGGAAAAAGAAAATTATCAAAAAATATTTAGGAGGTGGTTGGATAAACTTCTTCTACAGTTGACTTTAACTAATCAGAGCCATTATTTTGGTTTGTTTAAATGTCAAACAAAGTTAAAGTGATTCTTGTAAGTTTTAAAGGGAATGGCTCCTTCAAGTCTTTTGCATCTTTAGTTCTAAGATGTTGAACTTGGTTTGGACTAGGATGAACGATCATCATCAGAGACTGACTGCAGTTCACAGACAATGAATGTGATCAAGAGGGTAAGTCATTTAGTAACGATTTAACGAAAACTCTGCACTCTGTGATATTCAGGAACACTTGTAAACTTTTCTGATAAGCACTAAAAGCCTTTATATTTTTATATGATGGCTGTATATCCTGCTAAAAGGTAGAAAAATATCTGGTATCAGTTGTTTCACAGATAATAAGGAGGAAATCTGACTCCCTTCTTGTACTTTAAGCTAATATCAATGTGCTTACATGTAAAAAACTCACATACATCAGGAACTGACACACATAGTATGACACTTAAGAAGCTATGCAATGATTCATGGATGGTGAAACTGACAACACACACTCACACATTTGATTTTACAGGAGACAGCTGTTGCAGGCCTTCATCACTGTGTTGTGGTTGCAAAGTTGCAGAAAACAGAAGGATTTCATATAAATACTCAGTAAAGTGGGAAAAAGATGTTGATATTAGCTTAGTCTTTAACTCCCTGCCTCTTAATGCAGATCTAACGAGCTTGTGGAAGGTGTTAAAACGCACATACTGGGGCTCTGTGTGCACAACTGTATGCACATCCTGGCTTTTCCGTTTGGCGTTGCAGACATTCTGCACATGCATTACTGTAAATCTTACTAAGCAGATAGCTGATGAAAGTGCAGGGCTCACATCTCCTCTTCTGCACTCTCATTACACTACACCGCTCTCTCAGATAAATGAAACACACACACATGCTCTCTCTCACACACACACACAGATACTTGGATCTGTGTAGAAAGATTTCCTCCCTGCAGGTTAGGAAGTGGTTCTTCATCACCACCAATCCTCTGTCTTTTTTTTTCCCTTTCAGCAGAGGTGTCTGATGACTGAAGCTGTCAAAGGGATAAATTCACTTCTGTAAAAGTGACAATGGCAGATGATGACGTTTAGTTTTCCTTCTAGTTGTTTCTTGCTTCCCATCACAGTATGAGTTGTGCTACAGTCCTGAAGTGAAATCGGCCTTTAAAATGTGTCCGGACTGATAATGTGCGAGGGTGAATGCAGCCAATGTGTTTGGAAGCAGCTTCCTTGGAGTTCTTTGTTGGGATATTTGGATGTGGTTGTGCACGTGCTGGGTGTTACAACCACAGACTGGGTACACGCCTTCATCTGCCGCAGGAATGCATGACATACAAGTAACACAGAAGGAAAGAAAACAAATGTAAAAGTGGTGCAGATTTTCCCTGTTTGGAGAGAAGATGAGTTCGATGTCGACAAGACAGAATAAGCAGCTGCTCAATGGAAAATGAATATTGTTTTCTGAACAACAAGCAGCCGTTCATGGCAAAAGTAGTGACATTTATTCAATGCATCCTGTAATTCTCAAGAAAAGTCCCACTTCTTTATTGGAATCCTGTAATGGCGGTTTTCTAGTGAGGCATTCAGGTGCTTTAAACTGCAATCACTGTAGTTCCCCTCATGCTGAGAAAACTCATATATCAAAGCAGGAGGAAGAGAAAAAAGAGTTTTAATTTCACCAGCCTTGCTTCCTGTGGTGTCATTGGTTCTCAAACTGGGATATACGCATGTTTTGGCACTCAGAATTTCTTTAGCGGTACGTATTTATTGGAAATGTTGCTCTCAGCTGTATACTAACTAACCATTATAAACTGAATTGTGTATAAAGCTTTATAAGCAATGATTAAAACAGAAGTGGTACAAGCATAATGCAATGTTTGCTCCATTTTGAAACAATTCAAAACAAAAACCTCTGTGTAAACTGAAATGAACCATTCATAGTTAACCGGCGACACAGTGGCTAAACGGTGCAAAAGAGTGAGAACATTTGTAAGTTATCTCCACTAGGGAGTCATTCGACGTATGAAATCAAATAAAAAAAAGTTGTCACAAACTGAATCAAATGGTGCAGTTAAAGAGTTTACTCCGGTAGTTCTCCTACTGAATGCAATCCTGAAATGCGGGTATGCGCTCAGTGTAAACAAAGCTCTTGGCTGAATCTGTTGAACGCCACATGGAAGCTTGAGTCAACAGTTCAGATTTTGTGAGGCACGAGACGACTGCAGGGTGTTTGGTAAAGTTCTCAGCAATCAAGTTTTGGGACAACCACTGCTTTAGAAGACAACAAGAAGTCCCTGCAGTCCAACAACGCCTTGTGCTGATGATTTTGTTAGTTCTGCTCTGAAATGTTGGTTCTATAAACATTATAATAAACAGTTTCACGTTTTTTTTAAATACCTTGATGCACAGTCCCACTTCTCCCTTGTGCGACTACTCGGTAGCTTCAAAGCAAAGTATTTGTTAACCTCCGATAAATGTCCTTCCAGTTGTATAACTCACTCAGCCATCTTGTGCATGCCATCGAGCAGGGGTGTCCAAACCTGGACCTCGGGGGCCACTAACCTGCATGTTTTACTCGTTTCCCTGCTCCAACACACCTGATTCGATGGTTGAGTTACCTCTGCATGTTCTGCTGAAGTCTAATCACCCATTGATCCAATGCAGGTGGAGCAGAGAAACGTCTAGCGGCATTCAAGGACAAAGATTGGACACCCCCGTCGTAGGCTGAACTCCATGCATGGTGCTTCTAAAAATAGATTATAACACGCATCGCTTTATAGAAGTTCGAAGCAATGATTGCTGAATTACAATTTGTGTAAGCAGCACATTTGTTGTGGGAAGGATAACTTTAGGATGTCTAGGATGTAGAAGACTCACCCTTTGTCCGCTATGAGGAGCTTCAGGATTTGATCTTTCTGCACTGATCACATCAGGATGTGATTCCAAAATTCTTAGTACTGGATAGAAATATTTAAATTGATGTTGCGTTGTGTGCATAGTTTTCCAATATAGTGGTGCCATCAATTAATTTGTTGACACATGTTTAATTATTTACAGCAACATATTGTCCTGGCTCAGATGCCTCCATTCAGCTGCATCACTGTGCCAACACACACACACACACACACACACACACAGTTCATCAGAGTTCTTACCATCTCCACCTTCAGTTTCCTAATCTTTTCATCCAGACTCTTCCTCCCCGTGTCCTTGCCGGTGTCGTGGGGGGTGGACAGCTTGGCGTCCCCCCGCAGAGAGGACGCGTCTTCTCGCATCCACCTGAGCAAACCCTCTGGAGTCTTCCGGCCGATCTTCACCTCCAGATCTTTCAGGTCTGGGATGGTCTCGCTGGTCGTGCCCTCATTCATCTTCGCCTTGTGATCAAACCGAGGAGATCAGAAAACAGCACGTGAGACCTGTCAAACTGCGAGGGTCGCTTCCTGGGGGGCGCTTTGGCATCTTTTTATAATGCGGCTCGTGCTGAGCTGGACTGCGCCACGAGAGAAGACACTTTGTAACGCGCACAGCATTATTCCCCCCGGATCGATATCGCCTTAGAACTCTGCCATTATTCTGTGTGAAAGCTTGCTGACAATTAAAAAAATATATAAATATGGTTGTTTATTTCCAGCGGTTTGGTGTCTGGTCCCTCTGGTCCTGTGACGCTGACGCGTTTGGGTCTCTTCAGGAAATCTTTATCCCGAACCGAAGTGCGCAGATTCCACCTGCATGATGACAGCAGCAGGCGCAGAGAGGGACACCCGAAATCATCAAGTCAAACAGAGTTCACGCGCCCCAACTTCCGGGGCTCATTTCAAAATAAAAGTTGTCTACAGGAACACCTTAAATGGCATGGACTTACAAAATAAAATTGAAAAATAGAGTGAAAATGCTTGACTACATAATTCCCTCCCCCATCACAAACAAACAAACAAAAAAAAAAAAAATTTTTGAAAAAGCGCAACATTTTCTGTGACTTTTATAGGGAATAAACACACAGACTCATGTTCGTGCTGCTGTCCGACGTAATGTTACTAGTGCTTAGTGTATTTAGCTGATGTTTTCATTAGGTCATATCTTAGATCTTATTACTGTTTCTCTTTTACATTTTTTTGTTGGATGTAACTGGGACCCTGGGTACATAAACTCGTTCCACCACATGTACCACATGGGATGTGAATGACAAATACATCTCTAACTCTGACGCTGACTTTAAACAAAGGCAGGAGATTGTGTAAATGTCTGCACATTTTTTGTTTGTCTGTCTGTTAGCAAAATAACACACAAACCACTGAACAGATTTTAATTAAGATTTAAAGAGACAATCATTAGATGTTCCTCTTCAACTGATTCCCTTTTGGAGTCAACTTAATTCAGCAAGGTTGCCACAACTGACTGACCTTAGCAAACACAAAAATGGCTATTATTCAGACAATTTAAAATTATATTGCAATATAATTTAGTGTGGTTGTAGCTGAGAGTCATTCACAACATATAGTCCAAGTGCTACTTACTGTGCGATGTTTTAATGTAATATGTAGCATTAAATTTTGGTGTCCTCCCTTGTTGTCTGTTAGCAAAGTATCTCATAAACCTCTGGGTAGATGTTATTTAAACTTGAAGATGGTCACCACAGCTTATCATCTTACTACACAAAAATGGCTATAACTTTGTACAGAAGTGGAGCTAAAGATCGATAGATATGGAGTCATTCACAACACATACTTTGTGTTATTTCCCAATATTGTATGAAATTGTGCATAATGTTATATTTAAGGTTTGACCAAATTGGTCTGTAGCTTCATCATTTCTCAGAATAAGACAATCTTGGTCCTCCATGATATGACAGGCCTTTGATAGAAAGCTACTATCAACATCAATGCTTATAGAGTGAAATTAATTCATGTAGATTCCAGAACATATGTTTATGTGATTCAGATTATTATTATTAATAATAATAATAATAATAATAATAATAATGTCAGAGATGCACTGCAGAATGAAATCACGTTGCAAATTTGGTCACAAACATGAACCAACTGGATAAACTATAAAAGAGTATAAAAGAAGAATAAAAACATAATATAGAATAAAATAGAATAAGAAGAATAACCAACTGTACTAAGAAAATGTTGACAGTGGGTTAAATGATGAAGTGTTACAAATGTCATATCTCGTACTCACACTTATTTTCTCACCCCTGTGCGGTGTTGATACTTGACAACTTTCTTCTTGGCTGCACAGACTCATCTCAGGCAGATTTTTTTGTTTCCTTAACAGGCCTGGACGCCTTCATGTGGAACTGTGGCTGAGAATAATGTGTCAGGTTAAAACTATGTTGTTTAGACTGATGGACTGACATACTGGCAGTGTTTAGGGGCATCAATGGAAAAAGTCATGGTCAAAAATGGTCAAGCATTTAGAGTAAACAGAGAATGTTTCCACCCCGAGATTAAATTTTTCCATGGCTAAAGAAGGAGACATAAAATCATATCTGGAGATTATTCTGTGTCCAAATGCTAATAAAGCAAAACTGTTAACCTGATTGCTAAATGAAAAGAAATAAACTTAAAACATACTATACATAAAAGAATGTCAGCATATTTTTTAGCTCGGTTGTTTGTTGCTGATACTGTTGCACTGTTTCTGTGTCTTACATAGTCTGGCACATTTAGAGACAAGAATAAGACACTGAGAAGTCTAATCTGCAGTAAGGAGCGGCCTCTGGGGACCTGAGGAGAGACGTTTACTGCCAGAATGAGGCTGAAAGCATTGAAGTGACTTTGAAAGACAGGAGGGTTTAAACAAAAGCACTAATTAAATGGACGTCAGGAGAAAAAAGAAAATCTCTATTTAAGGATAGGAAAGAATAAGAATGACTATAAAGCTGGATTCAGAAGAAACAAGTGGAGGTTGTCTCAGTGTTTATGATAAGAAGAATAAGTTTAGATACCACAAAGGCTTTCTTTCTTTAGATGGGGATGAGAACAAATAATATGTGCTCAATTTTAATTCCCCTCATTCTCTGGAATGCTTTTAAACAGCTTGATGCACCCAGTTAAAGGAAGAACTAAGGCTGAGGAGTGCTCCTCCGCTTGTGAGGGTTGGATAAGAAGACATAAACTTTAAATTATTTCAGTGATTTTTTTTCTGTTTTTTGTTTTTTTTTACTCACTGTAACATCCATGAGGGGCACCACTCTGGGCACAAACTCCTGTTATAAACATTTTGTGCTTGTAAATCAGACTGCATAGTTGTGAATTACTGTACTTTTCACTGTATAAGTCACACTTTCTTGCATAAATTAGCCTGCCCTGTGACTTATACAGCGAAGCGACTTATTTACGATTTTTTCCCCATATTTATAACCCAATATTTTGCTGAGATTTGATGATTTCATTCATTTTGACATGGAAAATATTTAACACTACCATTTTCAGCCACTAGAGGGCGCTTGAGTTCTATGGCAAGTCAAATGTCTCATTAATAGGCAAAAGTGTATATTAATGAGACACTTGGCTTGCCATACCAAGCCACCTTCGTCTCGCTCTGGAACTCCTGGAGCAAACGTCAAATCAGTTGCATTTGGCCGCGCCGCCCAAATGAAATGCAGCTGATTTGACCATCAAAGTGCATTAATTAAGGACAAGTTAAACTGAGACACATCTTTACTATAATTTCGAGCAAACAAATAATTGTTTTTAAGTGTTAATCGTGTTAAAGTCCTCTCGTGCACGCACCTGCGACCGCCATTTGGCAGCCAATCAATTTTTGGTACAACACCAGCTCACGTTTTCAAATGGTCAGCGGTGACGCCTAACAAACGTGACGCATCAGCGGTGATGCATAATAGATGTGATTTATATGGCGAAGCGACGTATTTATGTTTTTTTTTTTCTTCACTTTATTAGACATATTTGGATTGATGCGACTTATATGGCGGTGCGACGTGTATGTTGGAAAGTACGGTAAGTTTTATCATACAAAAATCCCATGATTTAAATAAAGCTAGAGGTCACTGCTGCAGCATCTCTCTTCTCCTTCCACTATATTTCTGTTGCATGCGGAGGTGAAAGAAAATTAAAGTTAAGTTGCGGACAAATAATAAATTTGGCATAAATATGATCATATATTGTCATTTTATAAACACTTTAAAAAAAATAACAAAAAAAACAAACACTTTTTAGAATGTCCAAAATTTCACTTTGCAAGGTCCCATCTTGCCATATTAACTGCAGGTCAGATCGGTCAAAATGAATTACTTGTTTAGAAATTATTATTTCTGAAATTAAAGAGACAGTTCAAATATTTTAAGGTGGGTTACTGTGCAGTTGTTAAGTTCAGGTCATTTGGAACCGCCAGTAGATGGTGTTCAGAGCAGTCTTAGCTGGAGAATAAGGGAGAAACTCTCATGACACAATCGAGCTAAAATAAGTAGAGGGTATACTCAGAAAATAACTAAAATCTTAACAAATTTCACTGTAATTTATATAAAACTATGTTGTAAACTTTTACAATGTGTCACTTTTGTCAGTTAGTTATCTATCTACTGTATATACTGTATATTATTATTATATTATTGTTATTTTTGCTGATGACAGGCTGTGTTGTAATAGAGAAAATAAAATAAGAAAAAAAAAATCATGGTGTACTCAGTCTACCTACCGTATTTCTACCGTACACGTCGCTCTGCCCTATAAGTTGCATCAGTCCATATTTGTCTAATAAAGTGGAAAAATCCATAAATATGTTGCTTTGCCGTATACGTCGCATCTACTATGCATGACCGCTGCAGCGTTGCGCATGTTACACGTCACCTATGACAACCCGGAATTGTGCCAAAAATCAATTGGCTGCCAAATGGCGGCTGCGCGAGCGTGCACAGGAGGACTTTAACAAAATTAACACTTAAAGACAATTATTTGTTTGCTCAAAATTATAGTAAATGTGTGTCTCAGTCTAACGTTTGCTTAATAAATGCACTTTGACGGTCAAACCAACTGTATGTTAAAAGCCGATGCGTGGATGTAAACGCATGCACACAATGAGTCGCTGTGCAAATTAAAAAACGCCTAAAAACAATTGTTTGTTTGCTCGAAATTATAGTAAAGGTGTGTCTCAATCTACTGTTTGCTTAATAAATGCACTTTAATGGTTCAATCAGCTGAATTTCAAAAATAATTTTGCTGCCTCGGTGCTCGGGGAACATGCAGAGGGACAAAAAAAGGAGGAGGAACGTGGCTCGTTTCTTCAAAATTTAACAAGAAAAGCACCTAAACAATTACTTGTTTGCTCAAAATTATACCAAAGTTGTGTCTCGGTCTAACTTTTACTTAATAAATGCACTTTAATTGTCAGATCAGCTGCATTTCGCCGTGGCGGTGCCGTTGGTTTGACGATCGGTTCAAGCAGCGAGCAGAATGAAGGTGGGGGAATTTGGCAAGCTGATTGTATCATTAATAGCTGGTGAAGTTTCTTAGTCATCCAGGACATGGTAAATTCAAAAAAGTTCAAGAAAAAAAACCAGTAAAATATAAAGTATAATAAATAATGTCCAGCTGTTTTTGGCTTGAACTTTTTTGAATTTGTCATTATAGCCACGTTTACATATTACATGATACAACGGTTTGCCGTACATCTACTACTACTCTGCTGCCATCAAGTGGCTGAAAGTGGTACTGCTCAGTTTTTTTTTTTTTTCAGTCAGACTGAATGAAAACTGTCATACCTCAACCAAAAATTGGTTTATAAATATGGGGAAAATCCATAACTACGTCGCTTCGGCCTATAAGTCGCAGGGCATGTAAATTATGGAAGAAAAAAAAACTGTGACTAATAGGGTGGAAAATACGGTAATTTTCTAATCACTGTAAGTAGTAATGATATGTGACCGTCTAGATATTCGCTTGAAATATTACACTTTTATTTAATTTTAGCTCTTTTAGATGGTGGAAAATTATTTATAAATGAAGCCTTTTTTTTTTTGTTGCCATTAACTACCATGTATGACCATGAGAATTTCTCCCTGATTCTCCGAACTGAGATTGCATTGCCTGCCGTTTACTGCATGTAAGACACTGAACACTCGCATCTTTACAGGAACCCATTTCAAACATTTGTACTACTACCCTTTTGAGGCACACACACGCAATTACAAACAAAAATAAAAACCTCAACTAAATATGGTAACAAAGGGGTGAAACAAAGGCTCCTCACAATAACATTTATATGTGGGACACATTTTTCAATCCCACATTTTTTGGAAGTCAACTCTTAAGTGATTAATCTTTACCATAATACCTGGTCTGGATTTTAAAATGTGTTTTTATATTAAGTCTGAAAAAAAGCTGCTAAAAATCAGTTTTTAGCTTTAAAAGGAACAAAGTCACTCAAACATGGGTCTGTCATGATTATGTTACCATACAATTAGTCTGGCATCCATGATTATCACCATGGCAACAGTTGTTGGACGGGAAAATGTTCTGCTTTCTGCACACCCACATGCTGCGGCTGAACTCCAGTGTCTACATCATGCACCTACCTGGGTGCTTCAGAGGCAGCAGCAGCATTATTCAAACCTGGCTCAGGCCTTAGTGTGGGTTTGCATGTTACATTTGCGTAGGCGTGCCCCAGGTGATCTTGTGTCAAGTCAACCTGCATGTTTAGTGTAGTGTAGAGAGGTGCTCTTATTGACCTGCTGCCTCCTTCTTTTCTCAATTCTTCTTGCCCACACTTTGTATATGGCAAGCTTCTATGTGGAGATGAATTTCAGATAAAGCAAGGATTTAAAAGCAGCGTTGCGCTAATAGACTCAAATGTTTTCTGCTCTTATAGAAGAGGGGATCTTGAGCTAAAAATGTATTATTTTATCCAGGGAAAAGTAGCAGATATTTTATATACATATTTAGGCCTGCATGCACCACAAAATGGCAGCAATGACAAAATCTCTGCTTTGACTCATTCTTTTTGTTCCACTTTTTTTCTTTGTTTTAACTTTTTTTTTGCGTCTACACTGTACACCCACCCTACGAGTATGACAGCGTCACACTTTTGGAGTTGTGTGTGTCGCTTCCTTGCCATTGTGCCATCATGGTTCAGTTCCCGGCCCCCTTCCAGCCTAAGGCTGAGGCTCCGACCTGTCGTGGCGGCCGTCTCCATGATCCTCCATCTGCCTGCACGGACTGAACTCTATGGAACAGTTCGGTTCTGCAGGGAAACCTCGGATGTTCTGTGTCTGCCGGACCCGGTACAGGTTGCTGCGGTCGTTATCATCATGCTGCTAACAAGACCATGCCACTTTCAGAACCACACTGCTAACAGCATCATGGTGCTAACTGGACCATGTTGCTAAGAGAACCTCACTGCCAATAGAACCACTTTGCTAATAGGACCATGCTGCTGTAGATGTATTTCTTCTTTTGGTGCCTTGTTTTTGTATTTTTGTTTCACGTTTTGATATTTCTTGTTTTTTTTTGGCGAGTCGAGACAGTTCTATATATATATATATATATATATATATATATATATATATATACACACCCACATACTGTGAAAGGCTTAAAAAGGCACTTTGATGTCAAACAGGCCCATCCTATTTGACCCTAGAGCACATGTGTCAACCTCAAGTCCCGGGGGCCAAATGTGACCCTCACTGACGTCTTACCTGGCCCCCAAGATGATATGAGAAACCTAGAATACTTTTTTCACTTGAATTTTTTCAGTAATCTTTGAATATGATGCCAAAAGCACAACAGAGAACGTCAAAAGAGCCCCATCAAACTTTTGTTGAGGAACCTGTCACTATAAGATGCTGGGTATCTGACTTGAGTTATTGTAGTGTCTGAAATTGGCTCTTAGTTTTAAAAAAAAGGTTTTAATTTTGGCCCTTTTATGAAAGTGAGTTTGACACTCTTTCATACAGAACTACATAAAAAAAAAATTTAAAAACTACATAAAAGAAATTTAAAAAAAAGAACAGATTTGAATGTGATATTTACATTTTTTCTGTCGTTTTTCCCAAATCTTGTGTAACATAAATAAAGGTTGAATGAATGGGAAAAAAAAACAAAACATTTAGAGCAATTGAGCTTCACTTGAATTTTCAAGTTTTTGCTGTGTGTGTCTGTGTGTTTTACATCTTTTAAATGAGATTACATTTTGTTGTGCAACCCAACATGTGAAAGTGGAGTAGCAGCACGTTGGACCGGTTTCTTTTAATGGAAGCTTACCCTCTGCTGGAAAACTTTGGAATGCCACGCAAAAGCACATCTTGAGATTATCAGATAGCATTTTTCATTCAACCTTTATTTGTACAGGTCAGTCTGACTGAGTCAGGACTGAGGAGGACTAATTTTCAAGAGAGACCTGTTTCAGACAGATAACATTGTGACGTACTGAGTAACTAGGAGCCGTTGTTAATGTTTGCTTCAGTTCATTCGTTGAGTCTTATCTCCTTTAGACAATCAAACATCAGGTAAACATCTCGTCATCAAACTGCATGTTTTCTACTTATTATTGTCTACATTTTGATATGTTATAGAAATTCTAAATTAATAGAAAATAGATGGTACTACAAAGTAGTCATTTGTTTTATACTTCATGAAGTGATGTGAATGAAACTGAACAATGAGCTTATCCTCAAGTCGCACAGAGCCTGATGGGCGACATTCTTCTACGGGCTCCAGCTGACAGAGGCGTATGAGGTTAAATCTGTCAGCAGACAAGAGCCAAGGGACGCAAAGGCAGACAGGCATGAGGCAGGGGCATCGGAGACAGAGGACTTGAACAAATATTTTAAACATAGATGTGCTTCTGATACAAAATAATCAGAAAAGTGTAGAAAGTGTATAGAAGAATAACACACAACTAAAATAATCTGCCAAAAGGTATCTTTGAAAACAAGCAGGTAAAAATATTTTTGATACGTCTGACTGTAGATAGAGAAAATAACTTCTCAGAAATAAAATATCATTTAAAAAGACATGAATGAATGGAGAAGGTGGAGAACTAAAACAAAACAAAGAAAGTGCTATCAATTAAATTAATTCTTACACATCAGAAGCAGTCGAACCTCCTCCCTCGTCACTCCCAAACCTAACCTGTTCAACCTGCCCACACCTGGAGCACATATGTGAGACAAGAGCGAGGAAGGCTGATCTCGGGTCCAACTATACACCGAAACGACCTTTTCAAAGTTGCCCACAGGAAACAGAAGGGAGTCATGGAAGCAGACAGCGCATCAGAAGACATCGAGTCTCTCATTAACGACATGGACTACATCCCCGGTCACTTCCACCTGGAGCTCAATCTTAACGGTGAACCTGGTGATCTTGTGAAGCTGCGACACCGAGACACCAACCTGAAGCAGGAGAGTCTGCAAGCTGAGCTGGAGGTGGAAGTAGGACATCTGCAATACGCCGTCCGAAACCTTCTGGGCCTGCTGGCGTTTCACCTTGAACAGCTGGATAAGGCTGAAGAAATATTCAGGTGATGAAAATGGAATTTTATAAAGGCGGAATAATCATAAATGAGCAAACTCAATCAAAAATTGTTTTGTTTTTTTCATTATCAATCTACTTTTTAGTAAATTGAAGCTGTTGGTGAGTAGACAGAATGTTTTCAGTGACCTTTTACAGAATGGGAATATCCAGCAGACTGAAACGTGCTGTAAACACATTTAACCTTTCAGCTTCACAACAACTACAGTAAATGTCAGCAGAAGAAAACGAGCACAGCAAGCCCAGGTCATGATGTTTCCACTAATCACAAACAGTAGATAGAGTTAAAAATTACAAACCGGGCTAAATAAGTTCAGTAATAATCTTCAAATCTAACACACCAGTGACACAAGACATGGCACATGTTTGTGTTTAGTACATTTGTTTAGTACATACAGTGATCAAATTGTGCACATTAATATGCTTCATGTTGCCAACAAGTAAATGCAAGAAAAGCATGTACAGTTAGTTTATTTCATTTCTCAACAAACACATTTTAAGTAATTTCTTGCACCTTTAATTATTGTCTGATTAAACATTGACGTGACAGTGTGACATACAGCACCTCGACTAAATGATCAAAGTACACCCCTGTAGAAGAGATAAACTTATTTTTGACTCTTTGAGCCTGACATGACAACAGGGCAACATTTACCTACAGACATGGAGCTTTTTAATTCTGTACTCAGTCAGAACTGAGGTGCTTTGACCTGAAGACAACTATGCTTTTATTACGGCAATAATTATAAAAAAATAATATGATGGTTGTGTTCATAATGTTCACTCATCCACCAACGCACTCGTCAACCACATCATTCCTATTGTATAACAGAGGTTTCCAACCCTGTTTCTCATGGCTCACTGTCGTGCATGTTTTAGTTGTTTCACTGCTTCACCACATCTGATGTGAATAAACGAGTCGTTAACAGGCATCTGCAGAATCTGATGACACAATGACGAGGCTGTTAACTCGTTTGGCACATCCTCTTAGTTTGTGGGACACGGGATGGAAATGCTCTGCAGTGCAGACACTTGAGTAAAAGTGTCCATCTATCCTTCCATCCTGTTTACCCGCTTCTTACTTTTTGGGTGGTGGGAGTCACTGGTGCTCATGTCCAGCAGTCACTACACGAGAGGCGGGGCAGTCCATCACAGGGACACATAGAGACAAACAAACATTCACACCTAGGGACAATTTAGAGTTACCAATCAGCCTAACATGCATGTTTTTGGTCTGTGGGAGGAAACCGGAGCACCTGGAGAAAACTCACACATGCACGGAGAGAACATGCAAACTCCACCCAGAAAGGCCCCTGGACCGGAATTTGAACCAGGGCAACCTGCTCGCTGAGAGGCAGCAGCTCTATCAACTGCAGCACCGTGCTGCCCGAGTAAAAGTGTCATGAGTGGAAATATTCAACCTGAAATGACCAACATGATAAACTTCACGCTTCTTTAAAGAGTAAATACCTTAAGTCAATATAAAATAATAATTAAAAGAAACGTCGTAAGAGGTTTTTTCTTTTTTTTTTATCTCATTTTAACCCAAAATGAGAAATTGTGTTTTAACCTCTTCATGTCTGTGGTTTCTTCCCTTTAGGAGCATTTGCAAAGAGGACCCTGGAAACCTGAACGCCTGGGCCAATCTGGGTTATGTGTATGACTTCCTGGAGAGAGAGCTGGAAGCAGGGGAATGTGTGGACAAAGTCTCCCAGCTCATGGGCAGTGGTGCTGGAGAGGCGTCCCAGGAGGAGGCCAGGCTCCTGGCTGCACGCTGCCTGGCCGAGCAGGCTTACGTTTATCCGTATGACGTGGAGCTGGATGGCGAAGATGATTTGAGGGAGAGGCTGATGTCGGCACTGACGTTTTACAACCGAGCTCTGCATTATGGAGGTCATCTGGTAAGATTTTTTTTTTATTACTTTTTTTTTACCAGGAAGAAATCCATTGAGATCATCAATCTCTTTTACAAAGATGTCCTGGAAAGACAAGATGGAGGACACAGGCACGCAGAATAGATGCAGTAAACTGCTGGAGACAGGAATTTACGACAGATAAACACAGACTTAACGAGCATCATTCCTTGACTTGCTCTTTAATAAATGGTATGCAAACCATCCTAGTCATAATTACACGTCTTTACATTAGTCACTTTACCTACAGTCTTATTGTTGTTACAGGTTTAGGCTTCATAGAAACAAATAATAAAAAATAGCCTTTTTGATTTTTGATATTTGTACAATATAAGTTAAAAAATGTACTTCAAGGTGAAAAGCATTCAAAAGTAGAGCTGCTGTTGTTTTTCAGATACCAAAAGAAGAAAAGAGAAGCTGGTATTTTAAAATGGCAACGATTTATGTAAGGTAAAGTGTTGAACCCAACAGTTTTGGATTAATATCACTACGTAGTGAACAAAATACATACATTTTTTTTTGTTTTTGTTTTGTTGCAGACTGGACCACATCATAAAGACCAAAGAGGATTCAGAATACTCCAGACTCTTTCACTATAATAAGGGACTTAAACTCCTAAAAGAAGCTCTGGAGTCTGAAACAAAACAGCACAGAGGTACGGACGTTATATTGATTGTAGAATATTAAAATGATGTCTGGATTTCAAAGTTTAAAAAGACAAGTTATTGCATATTTAGTCAGTAATACTCATTTGCATGGGCTAATTCTTTTTGCCAAAGCCTTATAGTTCCAATAATTTTGGGGCATGTGAGATCAGAGCTTATCAACTTTATGAAATTAAGAAAAGGAGCAATACTCTGTTAATAATCCTGCAGCATCTTATATGATTTAGTAAGCATAATCTGGTATTTCTGCCTTCTCGTCAGCTTTAGCCTGGTGTTATGTTGGCATCATGTTGGAAAGGAAAGATGAGTTTTCTTCTGTGCCAATGTCCATTCATGACTGCGGCTTTTCTGCTTCTGATCCTCTGTCTTGCTACGGAACTGTAAGTTAATTCACATATTTACAAACCTCACCAACAAGAAAGCAATATTTGTTGACCGTCTTATCCTGTTCATCTTGGGTCCTGTTTTAAGGCTTTATTTGACGAATGAAGTGAAATTTACTGTTATTCTACCATATGTTTATGTTAAAATCCTCGAGGGAAATTGTGCTATGATCTGATACTAAATTAACAAAATTGACATCAGCTTGTGTTGATAATGCTACAACAAAAAAATTAACAATTTAATAGTAATAGTAAAAAATCTCACATGACGTTGAACACTTACATGGCATGTATGTAACATAAAGAAATGAAACATGACCAAATCAGCACTTTGAAAGAGTCAGCCTAATTTATTAGGTTATTTGAACTTTACAATGGACTTTTAGGAACAGCTGCCACCTTCTACGTGTCAAATGTAGAAAAACTGTCTCTGCCTTCAGGCCATAAAGGTTGCCAGTGATGATGCCTCCATCCTGAACCTTCTTGCCAAAGTCTTCTTCCTGCTGGGCAAGCATGAGATGACCACAGGGATCTGCAATATGGCTCTAGATGTTCTGCCAGATCCAGAGCTCAACTGGCAGGCCTACTGCACTCAAGCCAAGGTACTGCATCAGACTCATATCAACCCATGTTAGAATAAGAATACTTTACAAATTAATGCTGGAGCATTATATATATATATATACACATATATATATACACATATATATATATATATATATACTGTATATTCATAATACCATACCATACAAGTAAATGTGTTAAAAAATACATTTGATGAGACATGATGTAAGCAAAGTGATGCATAAAACCTTTTTTTTTTTTTTTAGATCAATATGATCCTTTATGCCAAGGATCTTGATAAAGCAAAGCAAGGAACTGGAGGATTCCCCGACAGGCAGATGCTAACTGAGGCGAGAAAACACTTGGACAAGGTGCTGAGTGTGCGCCCATGTCTGAGGATTCATCTCGAGATGGCCCAGGTAAAACTTGAACTACGGCCATGAAGCTTTAAATCCTCAATGGAAACAATGTTTCAAGAATGCTACTTTCCCTTTTAGGTTCACTACTACATGGGCGTAGACGCCCTTCAGGAGAGCCTTTTGGTGGACGAGAGTTCAATAAACAGTTCTTTGGTGAGCTTGTCTCACGCCCTACAGTTTGAGCTGGGCGACAGCTTACCAGACCTCCATGTACTCAGAGGACGCTGTCTTCTACTGAAAGGCGAAGAGCAGAACGCTGCAGACTGTTTCAAGAAGGCCGTGGACTTGGAGAGGCCTGGGACCACAGACACCACAGCCCTGCGCTGCCTCCTACAGACTCTCCTGGCTCTGTTTATGATGGAAAGTAACAACCCGGGTCCTGCCATCACCCAACTGGAAATGTGGGTGAACAAGGCAGAGCAGCATTACTCACAGGAAAGTGTGAACACTGAGCTGAAACACTTATACAGAACACACGCAGAGGAGGTCACAGAGTTATCAAAGACTCTGATCAAGACGGGACGTCTGAGCCTTGTAAAAAGGCTGCTGGATGCAGTGGTGCCGAAACAACTCGGTAAAAAAAAAACCCTGACAAAGTCTTTTTCGTGTTTCTGAAACAACAGTTTTAACTAATTATATGAAAACTCTCCCAGCACAGTGTGCTCAATCAGCCTTATGGCTTCATTTGACAAATTTTACTGAATTTTACTTTCCTATTGTGATGTTTTACTTCTTTTTTTTTTTCTTGATAATGCATTTCCTCCAGAAATGTATGAAGAATATATTTTATTTTCTTGCTGCGGCTTATTCATTACATCTTCCTGAAAGACTGTTCTCCTATTAGTTCACAACAAGATGTTTATTGAACGTTTGGCTTTTTTGTTAAACATTGTAGCTTACGATTTTTCTTGTGAAAGCAAATGTGAAGCGATTGAAAATTAAACAGATTTTAATTATTTATTATCCGATTATCTTCGCTGTGATCTTCACAGATGGGTTTGAAATTCTCAGTTCACTTGTTTTTTCCATCTTTACATAAAAACTAACCATTGCATATGGACTTCTGGTCAGCTTTCAACGTTAAAATTATTCAAAAATAAGATAAAATAAGAAAGAACTGTACTGATTCTGCAGGAAATTGTTGCAGCAGTGTTTCAGTACAAAGGAACAAACAGAAGGAATCACACAAGGTATAAAAAAAAA